GGGACACACCAGTAATGAGTATATCTCACTCTGTTGATGAAATTACTGATCCTAGGGCTTTTGAGTAGGACCTGAAACTGTGTATGCTTTTTGTTAAAGCATGTGTTTGTCCTCTCACGTACTACTCTGGAGGGGGATGGTGTGTGGGGAGTGGATTACTATCCCAAAAGGAAACACAATATAGTTGTTTGTATGACAAATAATACATAATAGTAATACAAGAACAAACTTTATGTTTTGCATACTCACAACTGTAAGCCTACTTTTGCCCCACCCTGTATGTGGCCCTGGAATGATCAGAGAACTGAGCCACATTGGAACTCATCACATCTTATCCTTGTTGGCCTTATTCTCCAACTAGGAGAATACAGCTGATGTCAATCAACTAATATTTATTCAAGAGCCTCTAAATGGCAGAGCTTTGGGTGAAAGTTTTGGCTTTAAAGAGTAACTTACACAGCCCTGATTGGCGTAGCTCAGTGGGTTGAGTGCTGGCCTGTGAAGGAAGGAATTGCTGGTTCAATTTCCACTCAGGGAATGTGCTTGGGTTGCAGACCAGGTCCCCAGTAGGGGCTGCATGAGAGGTAACTGCACAGTGATGTTTCTCCGCTTCTCTTGCTCCCTCCCTTCCCCTCTAAACATAAATAAGTAGAGTCTTAAAAAAAAGAGTAATCTAAACATGCAAATTGTCCATGATAGGACACAACCATTTAGAGTGACAGGTTTTTTTCTTTTTTCTTTAAGCTCAGTGGAATTTGATAGGGGTTTTTATTTTCTTCTTTATACTTTTTCTGTATCTTGCAAATAATTTTAAGATGAGCATTTGTTATTTTTTAAGTCAGCAAAAGCTATTTTAAAATGAGTACCTTTTCATGATAGTATGTTTTTAACTGAATCTTGGCTAATGTGATTCCCAGTCATGTTTTCTCTCTTTTTCTTAATTTAATTTATTGGAGTGATATTGGTTAATAAAATTATATAGGTTTTAGGCATACAATTATATAACAAATCATTTGTATATTGTATTGTGTGTTCATCACCCCAAGTCAAGTCTTCTTCCATCACCACTTATGCCCCCTTTACCTTCTTCTGTCTCGCCTCACCCCCTTTCCCTCTGGTAACCACCATACTGTTGTCTGTGTCTATGAGTTTTTTCCCCTTAGTCCCTTTACCTTTTTCACCCAGTTCCCTAACTTTCCTCCCTTATGACAACTGCCAGTCTATTCTTTGTATCTATAAATCTATTTCTATTTTTGTTTGTTAGTTTATTTTGTTCATTAGATTCCATGTATAAGTGAAATCATATGGTACTTATTTTTCTATAACTGGCTTATTTCACTTAGCATAATTCTCTCCAGGTCCATCCATATAGTTACCCAAAGGGTAAGACATCCTTCTTTTTTACAGCCAAGTAGTACTCCATTGTGTAAATGTACCACAGCTTTTTATCCACTCATCTACTAGTGGACACTTGGGCTATTTCCAAATCTTGTTTATTGTAAATAATGCTGCAATCAACACAGGGGTGCATATATTCTTTTGAATTAGTGTTTTTGGTTTTTTCTAATCTATTTCCAGAAGTGGAATCGCTGGGTCATGAAGCAGATCCATTTTTAATTTTTTGAGGTAACTCCATACTGTTTTCCACAGTGGCCTCACCAGTCTGCATTCCCACCAACAGTGCACTAGGTTCACTTTTTCCCACGTCCTCACCAGCACTTGTAATTTTTTGGCAGTTTCTCACTTTTGAAATTGACTATTATTTCATACTCACCTAGAAAGTGATGACCTAAAGGGTTATAACAGGAACACATGGGTACAGTGACAGTGGGTAAGAGATACTCAGTTTTTAATTGGCTTTTCTCTTCGTAATTGAAGAATCGCTCTCTGAGGAAGAGAGATTAGTACTACTTCCATATGCTGCACACACAATTGCATTCATATGGTAGTTTTCACATACAAATAATGACTCTAATTCTACATGGGTAGTGAACAGCCTCTTTCCACTTCCTTAATTTTGAGATGGAGATTCTGTAAATTTAGGCTTTAAATTTAAAGTCCCACTTCCTAGTTTGGAGCTATGTCCTTCATAAGTGATGGGAGAGGAGGACAGGACTAGATTTTCTAAAAGTAGAAAACCCCAACTGGCATTCTTGGAAAGCCTTATAAGCATTAGTAGACACCTGTTCAGAACAAATTTGAGGTTTGGGATTCTGGGGATGGCATTCAAAGTGAATTACTTCCACCCGGGGAGAGAGATATGGTGAGAAATTAGCAGGCGACAAAGAGAGAAAACCTCGTGTAAACCTAGGCTCCCCTGCTTATCAACAGGAGAGCCCTCTGCAAGCCACTGCATATATCTTGGCCTCCATTCATGAATTTGCAAACCATTGACAATATCTACACAAATATATCAACTGTGACTTGGTTATGAGGCCTGAAGGAGTCACTGTGTTAAGAAGCCTGTAGTACACTACTGAGCCCTTCATTTAGAAACATGTAAAAACAAGACAAGTAGACTAAGTCCATTTTCTTGTCAGTCCTAATCTAGTAACTTGTACACTTAATGGATTGGCTTTCTAATAGTTAGGGTCACCCCCTTCCCTCCAACTGGGATTGTGATGAGTCTCTTAGGTTAACCTTTGCTCTGGTACACCTTCCCCTTATTTTCAAAAGACCAGCATATTCACTGTACTTTCAAAACAGAATGATGGTTTCATTGAGGAAGTGACAGATACAAAGTGCCTATTTTAACATGAAAGCTTTAAAAACCAAAACAAACATACCAATAAAAAAGCGTGGCAATGATTAGGGCAGTCACACCCACATCTCCATTGAGAGCTTTAGTCTGAGATGCCTCAGCGAAGGGTTAGCCTTTTATTACAATTCCCCTTAATTTTGTTTTTAATTTAAAATTCTTCTTAAACTAATTTTTAATTGAAATGTAACTGACATATAACAATGTATTAGTTTTAGGTGTACGATATAATTAAAAACATTTTTTTCAATTCCCCTTAATTTCTGGTGAGAAAATATGAATGTAGTCAGAAGGAGGTGAGATTTGAAAAACATGGGCTTGAATTTGACAGAAGAAAGTGCAAATGCTCTACCTGCTGGTTACTAGTGGGTGTGGCCTTGGCACAAACAGACTCCATCTGGCAAAGCTCTGCCTTTCTTTACTTCACAAGGACGATGCCCATGCCTGCTTCACAGAGGTGAGGCCAGGACTCACTGAAATAACTTGAATAGCCACCTGGCTCAGATTAGGGACTCCATAGATGTCAGCTTTCTTTCTTGTTCTGACCTAAGAGTTCAAATTAAAAGCTGCATTTTTCTGGAGCAGCAAATTTGTTTTTGGAGAAAATGAGGCCTTGCACTCCAAGAGCAAGTAACATATCTGAACTTCACTTCAGAAGAAGCTGGCAGAAGAGCTTCCTGGGACCAGTACTTGGGTTGGTGCTTACAACAGCAGCAGGGACGGAAGGGAAGGCCCTTGTCCTCTTGGGGGCCTGTCTTTCTCTTCAGGCTGGTTGGCGATGCTTGCCACATACCTCAGAGCTGACATCACTGTCTGTCTTGCTCTCCCCCTGGGCCTCCTCAGAGGGAAGCTTCTACACAAGAGTGTAGGTTTTGGGTCCCTGTTAATATTACATCTGAGCTGGTCTCCCCTGAGAAGCAGGATACAGTGGGATGAGGGGAAAGAGGTGGTCTGTGTGGTTATTTTGATTCTCATTGCAGCCGTTTTCAATTCTAAGGCACATCACAAGTAAGGTACATTCCTTCTAGTCTCTCTCTTCAGCAACAGCTCAGCTCTAACCACGCCTCTTGGACCCAGGCTTAAACCACAGAAAAACAAACAAGGCTTTGATTCAGCTGTGAGAAAATCAAAGAGTGCTGAAACTCACTTAAAGGAAAGAGAGAGGGGGGTGGAGGGAGAGACACTACTCTCTACCACATACTGTTTACTACTTTTGACAAACAGACCCAATCAGAAAAAAGAAATTTGTGTTTAGCTTTATGAACTGCCAGGAAATGTTTGATAGCTATTTTGGCCATTGCTGCCCAGTGAATGAGCTCTCTGAAATTAGTCTTTTAGAGTCAATCTTCTGAAATTAAAAAAAAAAAAATCCCTTCAACACTCTTGCCCTGGAAAAACAGATTGCTTGCCAAATTCAAATTTTCCTTGGCCAGAGCTAATCTAGTCCTTCAATGAGGTTATAAAGAAAGTATTTCCCCTTGACTTTAGAGAAAGCACCTTTCATGTGATCTCAAAACTGTTATTTATTTTAAAGGTATACAAAATACCCCTTCCCACACCTTTTTACTCAAGAACAGTGCTTGCCAGTGAATTCTGTATGATTAGAAGCCAGTAGGGGGTTACTCTTTTGGGAAAAGGGGACAGGGGTCTTTTGGATGCTGGTCAAGTTCTGCTTACTGAGCTGTACACTGTCATCTCTGTACTTTTTTGAATGTAAGCTATACCTCAATAGAAGGTCCTTCCCAAACAAAGCAAAACAAAACACCCACTGCCTCTCGGAAGACAGTACAATTACCTTTCTGTGCACATGCAGGCTGCAGAGAGCCACTTTCAGAAAAGACTCAACAATCCTGTCACATACACAGCACAAAATCAGACAGCAACCAGACCCTCAGAAAGCAAACTTGATTCCTGAACAGAACCATTCTGCAGTTCTCTTCAGTTGCTTCCCACATTTCCCAGCCTGGCATGTAGCAGCCGTGGCAGGTATAAGTGAGGTTTACTTGAAGAAGCTAGTTTCCAATCAAATTGGGGAGAGGTGGAGTGTGCTGCTGTTTTCAACTCCAGAGAAGTCCTCATTCAAGCTAACACAGACTGCACTAGCCTATGAGGTTACTGTATTTTATGTATTTATATATATATATATATATATATATATATATACACACAAATAAACAAAATAAGGCACTGACCTCTGAGGTTACTGTAAATATATATTTAATAAAGCAAAGTAGGTACTTACCTATTTGGTCTTCAGGGATCAGCGACTCGATGGGGGGATCCAGCTCCGAGCTCTGAGACAAGTAGTTCTTCACCTGGGTCATGAACTGCCTGATGGTCTGTAGCATGTCTGTGCTGGACACATGGCACTCCTTGTTCTCCTGCAGAAAGCTCACGTAGTCTTGCACCAGGCAGCCAAAATAGGTGCACTTGTCTCGGGACAGCTCAGAGATCCTGCGGACCATGCGCTTCTCCGGGGTCATGAAGGAGCTGAACACCCCACTCATTTTGCGTAGCTGGGACTTGACAAGCTTGGGCAGCACAAAGGAACTGTTCCTCTTCTTTTTGGACTTGATGGGGGGGGCCATGGTCTCCTGGTCACTTTCATCTTCATAGTCCTCCAGGCTGCTGTTGGTGTCAGCCTCATAGTTAAACAGAGGCATGCTGTGGTCGAACTCCAGCGAGTCAGAGGAGGAAGTGGAAATGCTCATGTCGCTGAGCCTCTGTCTGCCTCCATGCCACCGGGGCCGTGATTCAGAGCAGGCGGCCTGGGCCCTTGTGCAATCCCCCAGGGCCTCTGCAGGCGGGGCGCCACCTGGGCTGCCAGCTGTGCAGGACTCCTGCCCCTGCTCCAGCTCCCACTCCTGGCCCTGGCAAGGCCGGCTGCCGGTCAAGGTCTTTGCGCTGCCTTCCGCCTGAAGAAAAGAAGCCTGCTTCTTCAGCCGGGGTGGAGGGATGGGGGTTGGTTTCATTCCAAGCAGAGCTACGTTCCCATGTTTGTTATGGTTGACTGTTTCTGGCATGCTCACCCGCGTTTCAGTCCTGGACAGCTGAGGGCTTGTGTGCAGACTATTAATAGCCGGTGGCGGGGGCCTGGGTGGGGGTGACCGAGGCCTCTCAGTGCCATTCGAGTTGGGAGTCCTTGTGCAGGGCTGCTTCAGGCCTCCACTGAGGTCCTGGCTGTGCACTTTCAAGAAAAGAGGATTAATAAAACACAGGGCTCCGTTGGTCTGGCTGCACTCCAGCTCTGAAGGCGTCCTGGTTTTTATAGAATGCACTCCATTTATGAGGCAGAGCTGACGGGAGGCAGGACAAACACCGTCGGAGGAGACAGTCCTATGGGGAGGTGAAGGGTTTGAAGGTTTGTTGTCAGCTGGAGAGCTCCAAAAATCTGAAAGTCATTATCAGTGAACACAAGAATGTAAATATAGTACACTTGGGTAATTCTTTCACAAATTTAAAACAGCATATTTTCATGACGATGCTTGTCTTTGGAGGGGTAGGCATTTCACTTGGTTTTCTTTCTTTTTTTTCTCCCTGCTTTAACTGTGTTACTGGAAAGGGTAGAAATGCTGCCAGACCTGGCTGTGGGCTCCTAGGAAGCCTCCTGGGGCTTTCACCTTCCAAACCCTTGAGAAATGGTTTGGCAAAATGTTCAAAGCCAGCCTGGCCTTTTCACAGGTGAGGAAAAAAGAACCAGCTACAGTTCTTTTTTTTTTACAGTATAGGCTTGGAAAAGGCCATGGGGCTCCCCAACTTTACAAAAATTAAGTCCAGTCTCAAAGCAAAAGCACCCTTCCCAATCCACTTCTCCCGGGGGGGGGGCCCTCCACAGAGGGCCTGGCAGTTCCCCTTTAACAAGCAGGACCAGCAGATGGGCCTGAGGGATGTTACACAATCTGCTTGGGGTTTTACATGTTCAGCATTAAAACCCCCAAATGAGGAAAAATATACTCATAGGTCCCATCAGCAAAAACAAGGACAGCAAACTTATGCAAATGTTAAGTCCAAGTTCAGGCATTTATCTCTGTGGTTTGCTGCCCATCTCTCCCAAATCATGTAACCTCCTCACCATGGCTATACATACTCAGTACTCTATGGAGCAGTGCATGATGCTATTGCAACTATACTGCCAGTGTCCCTTTTTACAGATAGATATCAGTTTTCCAAGCAAATCGAGGGAGGCACTAGTGGTAATAAATGTCTGTTGTAATTTCCATTTGGAATAGGTTATTGTCTGTCTATGGCTTTGCCTTGCTGTTTGCTTAAAATTTCTTTCTTTCTTATGGGCCGGGAATGGCTGGTCGTGGGAACCTGGGGTGAGTCTGATATTGGGAGAACTTGCTGCTTTGTCTCTGGTGAAAACAAGCCTGACACTGGGGCTCTATCACCTGCTTTCTCTCATCCTTCCTTTCCTTCTTTCTCGTTCTGTGCTATCCAACACAAGAGCCAACAGTTACCTGTATTTATTGTGCACTTGAAATCCAGCTAGTGCAACAGAGAAATTCAGTTTTAAATTTTATTTAATGTTACTTAATTAAGATTTAAAAACCAATGCTCAATCCAGTTACAGGAAAACTTTTGAGTAGGTTTGAAATTTGGGTATGTGAATCTACTTTTCAACTATAAATTTAATAAAATCTAAATAAAGATTATACATTTCTCATGAAAATTTACTGCCTAAAGGGATGTGCTGTAGGATACAATATACTAAATTTCAAACATTTAGTATGAAAAAAAGTAAAATATTTTATTAATATTTTGATATTATGTGTTGAAATAACATTGCAGATATATTTCATTATAAGCATTAATTTCATCTGTGTCTTGTAATTTTTCTTTGATAAACCCACATGAATTCCCCAGGGCAGCGGGAGAAACAAGTACAACTGGGTGAATCATATGTCCTGATCCACTGTCACCTACTGTCCAGCAGCATGGTTTTGGGTTTATGGGCATCAGCAAAGAGGCAGGAGAGGGAGCAAGGGCCCAGCTGGCCAGAGCGAGGAGATGCACGGCAGCATCAGGGATGTGGCCCAGAACACCAGGATCGAAAATGAACAATAAAGGAAGTGCAACAGATGTTACGCTAAATGCCTGTGCCGTCAGATTCCTCAAAGCACAGAAGTGCTGTCATGCCCGTGTGTTCCTATGGAACCAAACTGATTCATATGAGAGGCGCTGTGCTGGGTTTCCCTTTCTGTGAAGCATTGCCTTTTCCCATCAAGATGCCATGAAGGGAAAGAAATAACACATTACAGAAGTTTACATTACATTTGGACATTCTTGATAACTCAGACTCAAAGATGCTGGTATATGGGGGTTACCCAGACAAACTCAGCACCTGCCTCTGAAGATTGGTTCAACATCTGACTTAGAAAAGGACCCTCAGAAGGGGTGATTCAGGGGCCTCTGAATCCTTCTGGACATGGGGACTATTTTTTGATGTTATGATGTACCATCAGCCAACCCAACATTGACTTTGCTCCATGGATTCATTTCAAAAGAGACCTGGGTGGAGTCTTCACTTACTTATTCCCAGCTGGGCTAGTTCTTCAAGCTGAGCCTCAGTCTTCGCTGTTGAAATGGCATAAGGCAACTTCAAGGTAAATGGAAGAACGTCTCTAATTTTTCAAAAAAAGAGAATGTTTGTAATTACATGCCATGTTTCTATCTCTTACTTTTATTTCCATCTCGGAGATGTTTCGGCTTAAACTATTTTAAGTAGACATCAAATCATGCCTAACTGGAACTTATCTTTACTGGTGATAGGACCTGTCAGATTACAATTTCTTTCTGTGTTAACACACCTAGGACAGGCTGAAAGACATGCCTGCACTGTTTCAGTGAGGACCAGATTTCCTTTCTGGTTAGCTAAAATGTACCTAGAGTTAATATTGGAACCATTCAATATGTTGGTGGATCTGTCATAGACATAAACATTATTACTAAATTTGCTAAATGCTCTGAATGTTGGACCCCAATTCCCAGGGCAGAAATGTACAATCCTAAACCAACATTTATTATCCCATTGCCTTATACGTGGCAGATTCTCAATGCATTTTGAGATAAAACTTCCTCTTGTGTTTTAGGGCAGTGCACATGAACCCAAGAGGGTTTTTGTTATACTGCATACTCTTACTCAGGAGGTCTGGGTAAGGTTGGAGATTTGGCACTTCTGCCAAACTCCCAGGCCATACTGCTGTAACTGTGATCATACTTGGAGTAGGATGATACATCTATACAGAACCTTGTGCAATGACCTGGTCCCCAAGGAGCATGACACCATGTGTAGACTGGCAAACACATGCATTGCAGCATCTCAGGCCAACAGGCCCAACAAGAAAATGCTGAACTGGCACCAGGTGCTTTCATTCCCAGGCATATTTCCTCCCTAGTAAATGCATGGACCACGATCTTCTGCTTTCTCAGAAAGGAAAAGGGCAGACTTAATAAACAGTTGTTCCTTTCCACCATGCTCTAAGCATTGGTGAATTCCCCACAGGGCTCAGCACAATGCCTTGCCTGATACAGACAGGGAGAAAGTGTGTTCTGAATAAATGAATGAGTGAATATTCAATAACAAGTTATTTTTTTAGTGGTGGTATTGGCCTTACAATGGATTCATTCATTCAGCAAATATCTATAGGCATATGCGATATGGCCGGTACTATTCCAGGTGCTGGGGAAAAAAAGACAAATTACCCACCTGCATGAAGCTGCATTCAAACGGACACCAACAGACAACAAACAATTATGCAGTTATAGAATATATGAGAAGAGGATGTGTGCCATGGATAAAAATAAAGTGCAATAGGGGAATAAGAAAGAGTGTTCAAGTGTGAGTGGTGGCCAGGGAAGGCCCCATGAACAGGCAGCATTTGACGGAAGATCTACAGGTAGCCAGGGAGTAAACTGTGAGGAAAAGAACTTTCCAGGCAGAGGAAGCAGCAGGTGCAAAGGTCCTAGGATGGGAGAGGGTCTGACATCTATGAAGAATATCTAGGGGCCATGGTGGCTGGGGTGGAGTAAGTGATGAAACTTGGAGCTTCTGCCTGTGTTTTGTCTACATAAGCTGCCCTGCAAACTTCTATGGAAGAGAATAACTACACCAAATTACTTGTTTACAATAAGATTAGGCAACATTCTAGGCTGCATCAGATTAAATCTGGATGACTGACAGTTTTGGAACCTGTGAAGCTGTTGACAATGAATGCCAAACAAGAAATGTCCATGGAAAAAGCAAAACATGAATAAAATGCAATAGTGTCACAAGGGCTCTAATATACTGCTAACAAAAATGCTGGGACTTGGCAGTCAGGAGGCTCCTCTTTCCTGGGGTGTCAAGTCTGGGTTGCCTCCTGCTTCCAGAAGACTCTTTCACCTGCCCCCAAACATAGTGAACACCTCCTTCTACTTGTCCTCTCACATCTGTTCTAGATGAAGCAGGTGGAGCCTCAGGAGATGGCAAGCATCTGTAAGAGCTGCTGCTTGGCCCCCAGAGACACAATGACCCTGATTATAATCTTAAATGAAGATCAGTGGTAACCAGAACTTTGTAACACCAAAGTATTATGCAAATATATGTTTTTATGGCTTTACCAACTTAATTAATATCTACTTTCATTAGTTCAATTTTGGGGAAAAGCTACATACAACAAAACCAGCCTTTGTTTATTTTAAGCTTTTACCTTGCCCATTGCAGTACCTGGAGCCTAAATATCACGATTGTTTTTGGTTTTTCTTAATGACATATATGACAGGAAACCACACCTGCTACTTGCTAATTGGTGGTTTTAGGCTTTAATCTACTAGAAAATTAGATGTTGTACATGAGTCCTCTCCCATTGTGCCAGCCAGGGCAGAGCAGAGCATTTCTTCCATGAACACACTCACTCACACACACACACACACACACACACACACACACACACACACGGCGGGGGGCACTTCCTTTTCATCTATACCTTGTTAAGAAAAGGGGCCCTGTTCTAAAACTTGCCTAGCAAAATAAATCCATCTTAAGTATAAACATTTCACCCAAGAGTTTTAGCACACACATAATCTAGATTTACTTTTTATTTTAACTTTGCTCTATATGTTATATTGCTAAAGGGAAGGAGACTGACTTTACTGAGCACCTATTATTGCAATGCACCAAGCACCTTACCTCACGTCGGGCTCACATACATCCTGAGAGGAAACGTGCATGCCCTCCACTCCATAGATCAAGAGCATAGATGACACAGATGGAGAGACCCCTGCACCCACTCACAGAGCCGATGTGGAATGAAGTGGAACTCAGGTGTGTTGGACCCCGTATCTGTAGATCTGAGCTATCTAGTGGGAAAATATGGTCTTTGGTATCAAGGCAGGCCTGGATTCAACTGCAGTATTTGCTGTTAATTGAATGCAGGCAAGTCTCTCACTCTCTCCAAGCGAAAGTGTCTTCATGATCCTGATTTCAGGGTTTTCCATGAAGATTAGAATTAATAGGTATGATGCCTAGCACAGACCCAGAAAACCCCTGAAATTATAATTATACTTAATAATTAATAATGAAAATTATTTTCTCAGCCCCTTGCTACTCAAAATGTAGTTGTAGGACCAGCAGCATCAGCCTTATCACCTGGGCGCTTATTGGAAATGAAGTCTCAGACACCGTCTCAGACCCTCTCAGTCGGAATCTGCATTCTAACAAGATTACAGGTATTTTAGTACAAGTTTTTGAGGCAGTGCTCTAGACTACACTGAGTAGAGCAAACTGACAGAAACCTACTAGGCATTGGTGGCCAAGGCATGCATCATCACTGTTTGTATCCTCAACTATACTTTTCAACATGCCTTTCTAATGTGGCAATCATATGTTTATTGATTCATGAATTCTTGTCTAGTGCATAGGTGCATATATGCTCTGTGTGAAGACCAGAGCTTACAGTCCAGTCACTTTCTCTATTTGAATATATTTATGTACTAACAACCAACTAGAACATTTCAAAAATATTTTGATAAGACTGTATCAAATCAATTAAGAATACAGATTTAAGTAAATGAGTAACATGATGAAAAGGAGAAACAGACATTAAGAAATGTTGCATTTTTTGCTGTGGCTGGTGTAGCTCAGAGGATCGAGACGGGGGTTCAACTCCCTGTCAGGGCACATGCCTGGGTTGCAGGCCAGTTCCCAGCAGGGGCCAGTTCCCAGCAGGGGATGCACCAGAAGCAACCATACTTTGATGTTATTCTCCTTCCCTTCCCTTCTAAAGATAAATAAATAAATTTTTTAAAAAAGACTGTCAAAGGTGATTTCATATGTAAAAAAAAAAAAAGAAACGGATTTAAAAAAATAGAAAAATGAATCTGAGGCCTCCCTCATCACAAAATGTCAATGTTGGGATTTTTCTGTAAGTACCTTATCCCAACACCAGGCTCTGTAGTTTATGAAAGGCTTTCTTGTACTTTATCTCCTTCAATCACTGGACAGCCCTGGGCAGCAGGCATTCCAGTCTATTAAGAACACTAAGGGGAGAGATGGTATCTTTTGTGAATTGCTGCCAAATGTTATTTTATAGGTGTAGCAATCTTTTACAACAGTAGTCACCAGCAAGCAAACTATGAAGGGTAAACACAGGCCAACTTCACCTCTGACCAGCATGTTCATGTTGAAATTCATTCTCAGGGTCTGGTTGGCCTTCAGCCAGACCAGGTAAAGTTCCCGGGGCACTGTGCAGGCTCCTGCTCCAGCCTCCTTTCTGGGAGTGGCAGATTTGCTCACACAAGCCAAGGGCTCTGGCCCACACCTTGGCAGGTTTTGTCTCTTAGTGGGCACTCACAGAGCTCTGATCCAATTCTAGATGAAGCCCTCATTTCTTCCTGCTAGGAAGCAGCATGGGGGTCCCTTCTGAAATTATCTTCTCACCTTCAGACCATCGACTGCATAGCTTTTCCTGGCCTGGTGACTCCAGGAGCAAACAGATTAATGCCTGCCCCCAAAGGGCCTAGTCCAACAGGTACAAGGAACATCTAACTCAGTCTTTGAGAAATAACCTGACCTTTAAATTAATATAAAATAAACCAATCTCAAACAAGCTTCTCAGGCTCAGCACTGGGTGTGAGAAGTGGTCTTTGAAAACAACCCTTAGTAGCCCATGCCTGTCATCACTCTACCAGCTGCAACAGACACTCAGAAGAAGAAAGGAAGCTGACTTAGCTCAGAGGAGGTAATGTCAATCTCTGCAGCTGAAGAGTTTGAACCTTAATTACTGAAAAAATGCTTGATTTGAAAAACTGTCATGGGTGGAAAGGAAAGAAAAAGCCTTTCACAAACAACTGGTACCCTCCTGACACTTGTTAACCTTGTGATTTTTGGCTTAACTTCTTGTCAACTGAAATAGTTGCTTTAATGATGAAAAGGTCATGAGCATCCAGAGGCCATGAAGGTCAGTGATGCACAATTTATAGGCTGGTGTAAGGAACCCACATTTCTAGAATGACTTGCCCCCCTTGAAGAGTTTTCAGAAAAATTATCAAGGGCCTTTAAATGCTCCAGGTTTACATCACTGTTCCCCTTCTCCCTGTGTGTGCACGCGTGTGTGCATGTGTGCATGTGTTTCCTCTGCTTGATGGGTCCAGGTAAAAGGAGACAAAGGAGCAGCTTGAGAACAAAATCATATTAATTAATGAGATTTTACATTTAGAGGGGTCATGGAAATTATTTTGATCTTAATCCTAACACAGTTGACTTAATGACCATTTTATTTTAGTGGCCAAAACTTCCAGTGATATCTAATAGGTGTTAATCCTCCTCCCTCTGCTTATTTTAATCAACAGACCTTGGACCAATTACATTGCACACTAAGCAGGCCTTGAGAATTATAAGAGAGGAAGAGGCCTTACCTGCTGATGCAGTAGAAAGCAATGAGCCGGAATAAATCTGCAAAGCTGATTCCTGAGCCTTCCAGGGAAAAGGCTGGAAAGAGAGATTTTGGAAACCAGCTGAGTATCTCTGGTCATATTCTGGGAAAGGAAAGCCCCTTCACTGTTATCCACTGCGTGCAAAGGACCATCCACTGCTCTCAAACAACTACTGTGCAGCTTACCAGAACCAGCTGTCAGGAGGATGTATGTCAGCAAGAAACAGGCCAGTGAAGAGTGGACGGCCTAGAAACTCAGCCCCTGACTCACTCAGAGCACATGCTCTGATGCTTAGTAAATAGACCAGCACAGACTCAAATTGCACAATGATCTTTTTTTCAACAGTTCAGAACACAGAGTTGGGCAGAGGTTAAGGGACCAGTCTGGCTGGAGTGAGAAGCCATCAGCACATGACAAGGCTTGGGGCCCCCGCTGCCCTTGACCCTCCTGAGATGAGTCTCCTGGGTTACATACCTCTTTGTCAAAACAGGCCACCCCTGATAAAAACACATGGCAGAAGGTGCACAAAGCCTGGAGGATAATACAAGATCTCCGTAAATCAGCTTTTGTTTAAATTCAGCATGAAAGATTCTAAAACTCACTTATGCAGAGTGCTTCCAACCCCCACTACTGCCACCACCAAGTGCACAAGCTTCCTAATGAAGAAGAGATGTTTTGGGAAGATAATGTGCCATTTTGTACATCTTCCAAATGGTGGAACAGTGTGTGGTTTGACTTTAAATATTCATTGATTTGCCAGCCACTTCTCATACGATGTTGGCTGGGGGCCATTCATGCAGTCACTCTTCCAGAAACACTGCAAACATCCTTAGCTTTGTGATGGTTTCTTCAATCAAATGGGGTTTTCTCTCTTACATAACACTCCATATCCTCATTTATTTTGATTATTATTTGCTTATGATGTATTATTTTGGTTATTTAGTATATCTGTAGCACCAAAACACACCTATGCTCTAAAACACACCTATGCTCCAAAACACACCTATGATCTTATACATCTACCGTGACTGAGAGACACAGAAACACACACATGTGCACCACAATTTAGTGAGTTAAGTAGGAGGGTAGTGGGAATTGAATTTTTAAAAAATGGAGTACCTCATGTGAAAACAATCTATACAAATATAAGGTGGTATTTATTATTATTAAGCCACATTGTCTAGATGTTATGACAAAATAGCCATCAGTTTTTATAGCAAGTCCTTCCTTTTCCAAAGCACTTCAATTCAAAGAGAAGATAGGCGTGAGAAGGGGCTATCATAGTGGGACTAAGGCCTGGGGTAACCAGCTATGGCTACCTTAATGCTTTGCGCATACTAGCTCTTTCAACCCCTTTAAGTCCCCTAGAAAGGAATAGGGAAGTGACAGAGGTCCTGACAAAAGAGAGAGGAAAAATCTCTAGCTGGGAAGGACCTGAGATGAACATCAAGAAAGCTTTAAAATACAAACACTAAATGAGTTTCCACACAAACTTATTGTGGTGAACTTTGGATATTAGAAGGGATTTAAAAACCAGTTCTTGAATAGCAGACTTCTAAAGGCCAACTCAGAATTGCCTTTTTCACTTGATATTTAATTCATCATCTTCAAAACGGTAGGTTTGAAGTCTATCTTCTGATTACCTCCTAATATAAGTAAATTGGTATGAATCATTCACCAGGCTTAATGACTGTTCCTGAGTCTGATGTGGAAGTTTTTCCCTGGCACCAGTGACTTTGCGAGACCTGGAGGAAAAACATCGCAGAACCTCGGTGTGAGGCTGAACTTGAGGCTGATCACATAGAGGCTGGGAGGTTTCACTTCTGCTGGAAATGTCGCCTCTAGATTTAGTTAAAGGCCATATGACTTAGTGAGACTATGAAGTCTGGTCTGAGTATACTCCCATATATGCCCTTAAATTGACCTTGATACCTTCAGGTTCTCAATGCATGGACTGAAGCTCTCTGAAGTCAAAATTGAGAAGTGAGAATCCTGGTCTTAGTCTTGGGACTGAGTCTTTGGAAGTCAACAGGCTTCCAAACTCGCTTCTGGCCATTGCACCTCAGTTTGCTAACCTGTGATTTCAATGAAGTCTTTGCCTTTGGGGTGCAGATCTGTCTTCTAATCCTTGGAGGCTAGCCATACCTCAGAATTACTTGTTCCCCTTTTAATTCAAAACTTGGTCATGAAATGGCAGGAAGAAAACCAATGCTATGAACACTGCTCTCACCTCAAAACTTCAGTTAATTTTCCAAAAGGGCTGGATCCTGACTCTGATTAGCTGCATTTCATAGAAAACCGAACAGTGATTGCCTGGAGGGAACAAGTCCACTCAAGGATTATTCGCAAAGATATGCAGACACATGTTTCAGTATTAGATCCCATAAAAAGGCAACCTGCCCTTCAGCTTAGTCATCAGCAAACCTGGGCACCAAATCCTGCTCTGTAACTGGGAAGGCAGTGAGGAAACCAACCTCTATTAAGCCTCTGCCACATGTCAAGCAATTGGCTGCATACTTTGCACATATGTTGCTTAACTGAACTATTAACAACTCTCCGAAGTTATTCTCATACCACTATACAGATAAGGAAACTGAAGTTCCTAGGGCAGGTTACCTTCCTAGTCATTCAGTGAACAAATGACAATGTCAGGACTCAGACCCATGTCTGTCTGTCTTGAAGCACAGGTTCTATCCACCTGCTAGAAAGGCCTGAGGCCCTTGTGTCAACCAGAACCTACTTACATCCAGTGACAACTTACTGTATGTGCTTTCTTTTATGGCAAATTCCTTGAGTGGGACTCCAAATTCACAGGGCAGGCGAAGTGAGAGGACTTTCTTTTGCATTTTGGTGGATTTATGAACCAGGAAGATCTAGGAGGGAAAGAAATTCAAGCTTAGGAAACATCCAGATGGTTGGAACCTGGGCATATAACTTTCTACACATACAACATCCATGAATACAGCCCCCTTTATAGCTGAACTGCAAAGCTCAATGCAGGATACTCTTCAGTTTGGTGATTGTTTTGGGCGACACATGCTCTAGTCTGGTCTTATATGGGTATCTTGGTTGATGAAACCTAGATTCTAAACACAGGTAACATGGGAAAAGTATGGGTGATGAATTAGAGGTTCATTGGCTAAGTTAGCTCATGGGTATATTTATGATAAACATTTGAATTTGTTGTCAGAAATGAAAACAGAGGAGTTTTTTGTCTTTCACATTAAAATGTGAATGTCTAGCTTCTCTTGGAAAATGAGGTGGCATGGCATGGCATGGCAACAATCACTGGAGCCAGAAAATACGACTGCTCCATTTGGAAGGTGGGTAGGTGTGCTCTGAAATTCATTAGAGCCAATACCAAGGCTTGTGGTCCACTTACTCCTGGCTCACTTCACTTTCAACAGCTCCTTCCAGGTCTTAATACTTTCAGACATGTGCTTATTTTAAACCAGCCCAACTCCCAGTACTGATGTCTCAGGACAACTTTCTGGCTTCCATCTCTACAGAGGCAAGTATCCTATCCACTGCTGTTCAATCTGTGCACTGCATAATAATCCAATTTTGAGAAAATGGGGGCACCATTTACTGAGACTATAGATAAAATGTTGTCCCCTGGAGTACGCAGTGGTGGCTTGGCTGAGTCCTGGTTCCCTCCTGTAGTATATGATCCTTCTCCAAGGTTCTGTCCTGTTTCTTTAACCTCTTCTCTTCTTTCTTCTGCATTTGAACACTATGCTCTCTGTTCCTCTACCATTTTTTACATTTTCCAACTAATCTTTATTTTGGTCTGTATGTTCAGTCAATAGCTCCTAAGAAACATTTTGTTGGGGGGTGAGAGAGGGGTTGAAGGGAAGGTTACAGGAATGAGGTGTTTCCTAAATACCATCTTGCTGGGTAAAAGCCCAAAGCACTGCTGAGGGGCAGCTGTTAGTGGGTGGAAAAGAAGTCATATTCTCTTATGCAGGTGGAGATTTCTTTGAGCCTGAGGGTTTAGGGAGAGTATAACTTCTAGGCCTTATTTCCTGAATCTCTGTAGCCTTGGATCAGGGGTCAGTGAAGTATGGCCCGTAGACCAAATCCATCCTGCCACCTGCTCTTGTAAATTAAGTTTTACCAAAACACAGACATGCTCATTTGTTTACCTATTGCCTATGGCTGCATCTGCATTACAAGGCAGAGTTGAGTAATTGTGACAGAGACTATATGGACCACAAAGTAAAAAATATTGGCACTCTGGTCCTTTACAGAAACAATCTGCCAAGCCCTGTTTCAGACTGTACATTAATCAAGGATGGTGGGTACCCCAAGGACCCATGCCATCATGGCTAGTCTTTCAAATCTCCCTCTCACTGTTTTTCCTGTTCTTTAGCATTCTCTCTTCTCCTGGTGCATTTGACCTTTACTGATCCTCATCTTGCTTCTTTCCTCACACTGTCCTCAGCCTGCCCCATCTAATTGGGTGGGTTCTGTACTTGGTAGGGATCACTAGGTGGCTAGAGGAAGTATCCCACCTACTTGTTCCCCACAAAATCTCAGTAGGAATGGGCGTGCCTGACACCGGAAGAGGAACCCCTGTCCAGCAACAGAGTAACCTCCCTCTTCAGAATTTTTTTGCAGAAATGCAGAAGCAGAGAACTTAACCTCTGAAAAGTGGGGGCCTCACAGAAGGGGTCTTGATCATACAAACCAAAACAAGAGGCAACAACCCTGTGTGCTGGCCAAGGAATTTTCTGCAAAGATGATCAAATACTGTGCCTGTCACCCTGAGCATGTTCCAACAGAGTTCTTAGTCCCATCTATTTCTGTGAGACGAGAAACAAAGACTACTTATAAATCAAAAAATGGTAACAGACAGGCTCTGGCTGAAAGTAAAATCAAAAGCTTATTTTCATGCCCAATTGTTAACGACATCCTCAGCTAGCTATTGATGGAATTTTCTTCTTGCCTTTCTACCCACTTCTTAGTTTCTATCTCTTGCTGTGTATTGTTTCAAGGGTTATTTTATCTGGGATTTAGTATAGTTATCCCTTTTTTTTTTTTGGAAGTAGACCTTATGTACAAGCAGTGTCCAATAGAACTTTCTGTGATGATGGAAATGTTCTATATTCTGCACCATCCTTTATGGTAGCCTGCAGCTATCCATGGCTAGTGAGCACTTAAAATGTGGCTACTGGAACTGAATTTTTTATTTGATTTCATTTAATAAATGTAAACTTAAATAGCCATATAGGGCAAGTGGCTACCACAATGGATAGCAAAGGATAGACCAGTCAATCACTGAACAACTTTTTTTGAAGGAACTTCTACAGATCTGTGGCCTTGTCTTAATTAATATGAAGTTGGACTTGAGTAGGCAGTAGCTGAAGAAACTGAACCGAACTTTGATCCATATGGAAACCCAAGAAAAATCATCATCATCAGCCAGAGCAGTCTGTAGACACAGAACTTTGGAAGGCTGCATCCCAATTTGGGTGGCTAGGCACCGGCAGGGTTCCCAGGCTTAGAAGAAAGTAAAATAGTAGGGATGACCAAAACCCCACAACCAGCTCTTTCTCAATGTTGGGTCTCAAGAAGTCAGGCCCAGGGCCTCTGACCCGCAGCCCCTCCTCATTACTGAGGTGCCATTATCCTTCTGAGTCTTTCACTTTCCACAGAAACTGAGCAGATGGAGACAGAAAGACAAATTTTAAAGAGCTCTGTTCCTGGGAGCTGACTGCAGGATTTCCCTGCATTGCAACCCAGGGACACACTGGGAACCACCATGTTCCTAACAGGCTACAAAGACTTCCTAGAACTCTGAGTCTTTCTCTTTAAGGACACAGCAGCACTGCCTGCTTCAACATGTTTCCCCATGGTTCTGAGTCTTACCCCCGGAGGCTGGGACTGGAGGACTTCTGTCACCTCCTCTTCACTCAGACTCAGCTGCAGCCATATGGGGTGAGTGTGAAGAAGCCGGTCCAAAATGCTGAGTCTGTTGGAGAGGCTGTCGTAGCCAGAGTCCCGGGGACAGGTCTTCACATCCTTTTCCTTGGAATAGCCATCATCCTTATGTCTTACCATGCTAGGAAAAAGAGAATTAATAGGGGTCAAATTACTGTGGCACCATTTCCCAAACACAGAGATTATCCTACGGTAGGCTAGGCCCATCATAGCACATACTCTTCTTGTTATAACCTCCTCATTTGTCTTCCTCACCAGACCGAAAGCCTTGAGGGCAGACACCATGTTATATTTCACTCCACAGCCCTAATATTAAACAAAGTACTCAACAACACTCAACAGAACCGATATTCTGTTTCTAACCCAGTTTTGTAAAGGTTCTAAACATCTAACTACTGTTTAGTCTATCTTTTGGCATAAAACATTTTTTTCCTTTGAGCACAGAACCTTAAGCGCTAAATTTCATGAGGGAACCATGAAGTCCTAAAGCTCAATAGACTATATTGTAAGAATGACCATGGCAGGTAGCTCAGTTAGTTAGAGTGTCATCCTAATATGCAATGGTTGTGGGTTCAATCCCTGGTCAAAGCACATGTAAGAATCAACCAATGAATGGATCAATAAGTGGAATGAAAAATCAATGTTTCTCTCTCACACACACACAAAATCAATAAATAAAATTAAAAAAAAGAATGAGCATGGCATGCTCTAAAAGCAAAATAAAACATTCACAATCACATTTACCCATACTCAATTTTACACCCAAGTGAATTGGGCTTCACATATTTTCACAAATGTATGCATTTTTATTATTAATATTATTTAAAATAAAACCTTACAGTAATATGTTCTGATGCTATTCATAAAATCATACTAACATTATTCAGAATCACCATAAAGTAGAAATAGTCTAAATTTCTATCAACTAATGAGTAGATAAATAAAATGTGGCATATTCATACTCTTATTTAGCCATAGTATTCAGTTCATCCTTTTTATGAAAGAAGTACTAATTCATGTTACAATATGGACAAATCCTGAAGACATTATACTAAACCCCAGGCACAAAAGGAAAAATATTCTATGAGTCTGTTTATATGAAATATCTAGACAGACATATGTACAGATAGAAAGATTAGTGGTTGCCTGGGACTGCAAAGGGATGCAGGATGGTTAGTGATTACAAATAAATATGGAGTTTCTTTTTGATATAATAAAAATGTTCTGTAATGAGATGTACTGATGGTTGTATAAACTTTGTGAATATACTGAGAACCACTGAATTGTACATATTAAATCTTGAATTATATGTTATATGAGTAAAATCACAATAAAAAATATCACATTGAGCTCCATCGTTGCCTTTGGCCCAAACATTAATCATGTTATTCAGTATTTAGACCTCCTTTTACAAATGGGGAAACTGAGGCCCAAGGAGTTACCAAGCTGTCCAGAGATATAAATAGCCATGAGATGGCAGAACTAGAAATTCAAATAGTCTAGTGCTCACCCAACTCTGCAGGTAACAAGATCATGAACATAGGATAGCTTGTATCTCTGTGGTGTCTACCCTCAGTCAGTCTCTTTGCAAACATTTTCTCATTTACTCCTCTCAATAGCTCCAAAAGGAAGGTATTAGGATTCCAGTTTAAAAAGGAGGACCCAGAGCTTCAGACTGATTGAGTAACTTCCTCAAGAACATGAGTCTGTTAAGAGAGAGAGGGTGGAGATCCAAATTCAATGCTGCTTCAGCTCTGGGGTCTCTTCCTCTACCATGTTCAGAACTCTCTCTTTCCCTGGCTCTCAAAGAGCTGGCTATCAACACCAGTCCTGGAGCAGCCAGCGGGAACATTAGGCTTGACCATTCATATCTGCAGGGCCGAGTTCAGGTTGGGGTACACACGGTCTTCAAATATCTACATCTCCCAAATTTCAAAGGTGTGGTCTGGATGAAGTCTCTAACATTGAGAAAGATAGGTGATGGTTCCGAATGTAAGGTGAGAGTAGGGGAAGGAGGTGTGCTATTTCTCTGTGGATCACTCCACTCCAAGGAAGTTGGATTAAACATAGAAGACACCCATCTAAGGTGATCATTTTTCAGTATGCAGACTCAATACCACCACCCACAACAGATAGCCCATGGGCTAGCCAGAGACCCCCTAACTTCTCTCCTACACCTTCTTGACTTCTACATTTCTGAAGACTCTCATACTTTCATTTCTGAGTGACATTTGGTTTTCTCTCAAATATGTGAATGGCTTCCTTCACTTCTGCCACATGTTTCCATATGGGAGAATCTGCCACAAAAGGGCAGTTTCTCGTTATGCAAATGTCATTTCAGGGCCTCTAGGTATTTTGAAGTGAATCTTTACAGCCAGTAAGAACAAACTCTTCAAAATGAAGCTGGTGTTAAAATGCTTTTCACATAAAGAGAAGATTTTAGACCAGTGATTCTCAACCCTGGCTGCCCACTAAAATAACCTGGAGAGCTTAAAAATGTTTTGATGGCCAAACTACACCTATATCAAATAAATCAGACACACAGGGTGGGACTCATACCTCAGAATTTTTTAAAGTTCTCCAGGCAATCCCAACATGTAACCAAGTTTACAACCACTGCTTTGGATCAGCCCTTGAACCTACATAAGAATCACTTGGGGTCTGTTAAGCCAAAATACTGGTGTCAGCCCCAGATATTCTGATCCTGAAAGTCTGGGGTGGGCCTGAGCTACATTTCTAGCAAGTTCTGGCTGATATTGCTAGTCTGAGGAGCACTTGCTTGAGACCTAAGAGTAAAACATGCACTTGAACTCAGATTCAATTAGGTGGGGTTTTGGGGGCGGTCATACGAAGGGCAGTAACATACCACTGAAAGAACTTGGAACCCAAATAAAATAACATTTCATTCCTGACATCTCAGGTTGGTGATATTTTACCAAGACTAAGTTCTGCAATCTCTAAAACAGCAATCCTGATAGTCATGTGTGCTGAGAGTAAATATGCTGACAATCTTCCTTCTTTAGGAGGGTACATTCTGTGACACCTCAGTTGTTTCAAGAAGCTAAAGAAACTTTGTTCTGACAACTGCCTCAGCCTAAAAAGCCAGGGCCTCAACAGGGGGTTAGTAAATAAGACTCATGGGGTCTCATAAAGGAGCAACCATAAATTAGACCTTGTCTTTGCAAATGACTAAGCCAATGCCTTATTCATCTAGCCATGTGAGGTTTATAGCCTGTTATTACAGAACAAATTGCCTTTTATCAACCAACCAGAAGGACGACCTTCAAGAAAGAACTAATGAAGGAAATGCCAAACCTGCAGTGAAGGCTGTTGGTGCCCTGCCCAGCTCCCCTTTATCAGATTGGGTACCCACGCTCCTGCTGTCCCCTTTTCCTGAACATACCTGGGAAGTTATACCCTCCCCTGGCAATAATACAGGGTGAGGAGTGGTCTTCTTGCCGAAAGGTGGGGTAACTCTGTGGTGTTATTCACTATTCAGAGCTTCCTGGGAGATCAGCCTGAGGCTAAACTTCAGCTGACCCCTTTGCCTGGTTTCCTCTGCTCCCATCTCGTATCCCTCACTCCTTCATACATTGCTCCTGAGAGACTCTCTTAATACATCACAGCACAAGAATTCCTGTCTCAGGCTCTGCTTTTAGGGAACTGCACCTAAAACAGAAGCTGATAAGATTTACAGAAATTAGTGTTTCCTAAAGCAGATGTCTGCTTGCAAATATAAGAGAGGGCAAAGAAAGAGTGACTTATAAAAGATAAATCACTGTGATATAACCCAAGAGATCATATGATAATATGGTCACAGTGGGACAGCTGCATTAGAGACCCATCTCTGTTTTGGAGCTTCATTTTTTTCTAATCTGAAAGGGTACCTCCACCACCATGTAGAATTGATATAAGCAGGAATCACAAGTGGATGCTAACATGAGTAGGTGAAAGACATTAGGGAACAGAACATTCACCATTTTAAAAGACCCCATAGAATACTTATCATAAAAAGGAAAAGGGACCATGACAATGGAGAAACCTGGCAGACACCATCTTAACCAAGTGATCAGCCTTAACACCTTGCAAAATAAGACACCTGATATCAAGTGCCTCCACTGTGATGCTCTGAGAAGTGTAACCCAACCTAGACAGGTAGCCTAGCATAGATTAACCTTTATTTAGAGCATATAACTTTGCCTCAATCGACCTGCAACCCCATTTAGATCACTCTAAATTTATAAGTTTTGTGTAATGCTATCTTGTAATTTGCTGAATGTCTCACAGAAGGACCAAGACTTAGTCAAGGTGTTTATCCACATCTATGCAACCCCGATGTAGATTGCCAGAACTGTTTTTCAGGAACAAGCTCAGAATGTTTTGTAGCACCAGGGAGAGAACAGCTGAAACCACCTGAGAGACTCTCTAGTGACTGCCTCATGAACTTTCCTCATTATACCCTCATTATAATACTCTCCACACAGGGGCAGAGATTTTCTGTCATTTTTTAACATGCGATGTATGTATAACCACGTTCCCTGACTGCAAGTACATTGGAGTGTCTTCACCTATACTTGCAATGATGAAGTCTAAATTGATGTTTGAACATGATTTCTCCTAATAAAGATGGATTAGATGACCCTGGCTTGTGTGGCTCAGTGGACTGAGTGCTGGCCTACACATCAAAGGGGTTCGATTCCCAGTCAGGGCACATGCCTGGGTTGTGGGCCAGGTCCCCAGGAGGGGCCATGCAAGAGACAACTGCACACGGATGTTTCTCTCCCTCTCTTTCTCCCTCCTTTCCCCTCTTTCTAAAAATAAATAAATAAATACAATCTTTTTTAAAAAGATGGATTAGATGCTTTGTTCAGGGACACACTGCTCTGGGAACAACCCCCAGTTCATCCCTGCTTGCCAGCTCGCATTATAAAGCTTGTTCTCGTAAAGTCATCTCAAAGTTATCTTTGGGCAGGCAACTACTGAGCATTCAAAGCTGGGTCTGGAAACAAAGGCTATCATACTACCTGGGTAGTTTTCCTCTCCCAAAAGGTGTTCAAGCTGAATTGACACAAGAGGAAACAATCAAACAAACCCAGTTTCAGAGACTTTCTGCAAAACCAC